ACAGTGATCCAAAAATATTAAGTGGAAGATTCTAGAAATAACAAGATTCAAATAAGTTCTAACACAGTATACTGTTATATGTTATTACCGGTTACTATTAATCTTTCACTGTGCCTGAAGAATTTTTTTATCATACGTATGAATGAATACACTGGAAAAGATATAATATATAGGATCTGGTACCCTGTGCAGTTTCCAGCAGCCACTGGGGGGTTGGAACATATCAGCCAAGGAGAAGACGGCACTGTAAACATCTATCTTTCTTGTTAGACAATTATACCTTTAATCTGGGAGAAAGTTTGGAGTTCTCTTGGTGACTGTGAGAAACTGGTGAAGGGTTTGAGGTAGGGTAAGAAATGATTAGTTTTGTATTTTGTGAATATAAATCTATTAGAACTTTGAGTAGAGGCATTTGATTATTTTAAATAATGAGATAAAATATTTTAAAATAATATGGTCATATTATTTTTGCATAACTTATTATTTAGTATTTTCTATTTATTTTGAAATATATAGAGTATTTAACACTGCACATATATTACCTGAACATATTTAAGTGTGTCTCTTTGCATACTGTACTTATGCAAATCTTGCTAAAGTATGAACCATGTTAAGACCATTATACTATATTACGTATGCCTACCCATCCATTAATTACACATTGTGATTTTGATCTTACCTAATTCTTTTTGTAAAATGTCTTTAAAATTCCAGGTGTTATGTGGCAACTTAGGGAAGATTTGATGTCAAAAGGGATTTTTAATATACATGAAATATGGTATATTATAAATAAAATACAAACAGGCAGGAAGTATCTATCCACTTTTGGTTACTGGAAATGCAGAATACTAATAATAGCAAAAATATGGAAAATGCTTCCTGGTCCTTCGGACTTTTAATCCACCATGCTGAATGGGTTTTCATAGGGCATATACTTGCTCATGACCTCTAGTGTTAAGAAATTCTGTCACGTTTGAAAACTAGTCCCTCGTGGAGCCTGTATCCCTGTTAATAGCTGAAAGGTCAGTGGAGCTGCTAAACAGTTTGTATTACTATCAGGGTGGTCATGAAAACACCACCTGCTGCAAGAGGACTTGGCAGCTGGGTCAACAGGCACTGTGGGAATTTATCAACTCAGGGGGGCCACTTGCATAAAACTTTGACTGATGAATTGGGACTCGACTGGCTTACTGGGCTAAAGCTGCTCTATTATGTATGACTTTCTTTGGGTTGACGGAGCTGCCTGAGACACATGCGAAGGATAAACAGAACTGATTTCTCCTTATGAAGTGATTCTGTGAGGAAAAGCACTCGAGCGTCCAGCACACTAAGGAGTAGGATGAAGATATTACAAAACAGTAAACAAAGGGCCATAAGTGGCACCTTGGGGGAGGAGAGCGAAACAACGTGAAGGAACCAGGAGAGGCAGTTTTAGATACTGGTCACAAGGGAACCTAGGGACACGCAGCATTTTTATAAAATGACCTCTTCAGCCTGGAATGTACATTGTTCATGTATAGATGTCTTCAGGGAATGGTCTCTGTGACGTGGTTTGGGTAACAGATAAACAGCATACTAAAATATAGCTAGAGCAGTACACGTTGAGTAAACCAACATGATTGTTCTTAACAGCTTTGTTGTTAACAACTTTGTTTTACAAATTCTTGGAGAAACAAACCCTGGAAATATTTGAAGATGAAGACAACAAGATCATTTGATCTAAGTTCATCTGAAACAAACTTAAAGAATCTTCTGTCTTTATGGAAAAGGCTGTATTCTACAGCTATGAAGCTTGAAAACTACACACCTCTGTGAGAAACCTTGAACTTCTATCGCCCAGGACATTTAATTAATTCCATAAAGATTTAGTACAGAGCAAGCATTGCAGGAACAATACGAATATTTGAAATTTAGGCATTGAAAGCTTTTTAAGGGTCCATGTATACCTTTATCCTAATTTTGGAACTAAGGGAACCTCAGAAATTGAGATTACCTGAAAATAATTTTAGGATGCATGGAACGAACACTAACAATACTAAAAATTTCCATAGATGTCAAGGATGTCGTTTACCTGCCTCCTATGTCCTGTGTAGAAACAAGGCAGGGATACATTGGTCGCCCGTACATTTTCAACAGGCAGAGGGGCATGGTATGGGGAGATGGTTTATGTAGTGTTCTTTGTTAAAGGATAGTCAGACTAGACCAGCTGAGCCTCGGTCCTGCCTGGACGGACTTGCTCTTATCTCACTAGTTTCAGACGGCACTTTTAAGAGAAATGGAAATTCTTGTCCCAATCTTGTGCTCAGTGTATCTAAATCTATGGAACTGTTCAGGCTAGGACAAGCTGAGCTCAGTAGCAGAGGCTTTTGGGGACCCTGTACTTTGGCCAGACCAGCTGCATGACTGGTACTGCCTTGACTCTAACCCCACTCTGCTATGGAATGCTGCTGGTCACCCTGAAGCTTATTTCTGACCTGTGCTCCATGCTCTGACACAGAGG